GGGGGGGACTTGTTATTCTGATTTCGCACAGAGCTGTAATTGTAAATGTCATGTTGCATCACAGAGCCTGTTTAGCTGGTGGACAAAACATTGTCATATAACACTGTCCCGATACTGCCTGTCTTTCTTTGTACTGCTTTTGTGAAGCGCCTGGGCATTTCTATAGGTGATGAATATTAAAGGCAAAAAAATCAATGAATGAATGAAAATCAATGAACCAATAGATTGTTTGGCTTATTATAGTTTTAGTCATTTAGATGCCCTTAAGAAACAGTGACAATTTCTTTTTAGCGCAGTCAATCCAGCTTTAAAGAGAAAGACCAGGGCTGCTAGCTCTGTGGTCATGTCTAAAAATATTACCTTGTCTTCCAAAACCATATGAACATGGAGTCTAAAACTAAAGTGTAGGCAGGTCAGTGTATGCTGGGGCAACATTCAGTATGTTTTAAATCAGCATTTGTCTTGGCTCCTAAACACCTGTCTATATAGCTGTACAGCATTCATACTTTGTACCTTAATTCAGTCATTTTCTTTTGTCAACCACTGAACACACAGCCGTTGTGAGTGTATAAGGTCATACTGTATACTCATTTCCAAAGATTTTTATGCAGTGACACATTCAGTGTTGATTTACCCACCATGTACATTAACCTGTGTGTCCAGCTGCTGCTATTAACATGTTGATGTGCCAGTTGTTTCTCTTTGTAATCAATATCCCTGATGTTTGAATCTGAGTCATTTGCCTCCTTGTTATGCCGGTGTTAAATCCGCCCACTGGTCATCTCACAGTCTGTGAGGCATTTGCAGAGCATTCACCACATCAATGAGAGCTATGTTCAGCCTGAGCCAAAACACCAGTTTGTTTAGTGCAATTCAGGTTATTAAAATGTTTTTCAAACCAAACTTGTGAGGAGCTGAAAAGAGCCATTTGAGAATATATCACAATAAAAGAATATTTGAATGCTTAGAGTCTCAGTCTGATGAAAACTTAGTGTGTGATGGGGCTGGATTTGAAACTGCTTTAACACTTTAGGAAAAAGGTTTGACAGCAACATAATTTCCACTGAACAAACCAGAAACAGAGATTTACAATCCAATCATATATCTATTTGCCACTTGTAGGTTTTAAGGCCACAGCTTAGACACAGATTGAATTTTTACCATCACAGTATACCGATGCAGAGGTTAGTTTCTTTAACCAGTCAGTTATCTGCACAGTCTTCATGTGAGTTGCTCTGACCATGAATTACAGCTCTGTGTGGGAAGATGGATAAAGGCACAAGCGATGAATGCAGGCAGGTGTGTGTATGTGTTCTTGTACTTGCTACATAGTGAGTACCAAAAACTTATTTTTTTGCTACAGAGTGAGGACATTTTGGCTGGTCTTCACTTTGTGAAAAACCTTTTTGAGGGCTAAGATTTGGTTAGAATTAGGTTTAGGGTAAGAAGCTAGGGAACGCATTATGTCAATGAGTGTCCTCATAAAGATAGAAGTACAAGTATGTGTGTGAGGGGGATGCTGACGGGAAAAACAAGAGTGTAAAACCTCAGTGAAGGTTTAGTGGGAATAAAACAGTCAAGCCTCTGACGCACATGCCTTTAAAGTGTGAAAATGTTATGATACCTCTTGTTTTTCTTTTTTTTAATATATCATTCAATACATCTGTGAAAAAGGCACATTCATTTTCCTTACTCAGCTGTAAGTAAAACCAAGCACTTTAAAGGGTTAAAGGGAATTACTGAGCTCTAACAGTATAAAGAAATGAGAATTGTCTAATAGGTTTTGTAATATTTTGATAAAGCAGTTATCTCCACAGAGGATCTTATTTCAGCCTTTTTGATCAGTCTGTCTCTAGAAATTATTCATTAGTCACTTGCCCTTTAATTTGTCTGCTTTCTCAGCTCTACTAACACGGCTGCTCTTCTTTCACCAGACTTCCATTTACAGGCATCACGTAACTGCAGCACATAGCACAAGTGACACTGATCGTGCAGCTACATCAGTGCTATGAAACTGAAATAGTATCAGAATATCTCTAATGTTGCTCATGCTGTAGGTTGTTCTGCAATTAGGTTATGAAGGAAAACATAAATGTGTCATTTTTTTTACTGCTATGAAACTGAAATAGTATCAGAATATCTCTAATGTTGCTCATGCTGTAGGTTGTTCTGCAATTAGGTTATGAAGGAAAACATAAATGTGTCATTTTTTTTATAATAATATTGTAATCCATTAGCTATGATCCCGAGATGTAATGAGCTCCAGCAAGCATGCCTGCCAAACAGCACCAGTTCGGCTCATTCACTGGCATGCTAATCAGGCAAATCAGCTGATGAAGGACTTAAACATGGCTCTAGATGGCATGTTACTGGACACTCATTTGTGTAGTCAGTCAATAAAACACAGTTGAATGTGAATGGGAGAGCACTCATATGGAAGCTCAGTATATGAGTTAAATGATGTTTACCCATTATTTGGCCCCAAAGAGGGGATGTCAGGCCACGCTGTCATAAATCTTTAAAGCCCCACAATAAGTAACACCATTTTCCAGACCTAGCTTACCCTTAACACACAGCATCCCTGAATCCTATCCTCCCTCAAGCAAAGAGCAGATATGTGGCTTGACAAACAGCATCTGCATTGTATTTGCTAAGGTCAGGCAGTGGCTGGCCCAACTGGCTGGTAATGGCAGTCACCTCTGAGAGCCAGGTCTGCTCATCTGACACTGTTCTATCAAGATTGTCTAATAAAAGCAGACAATTAACAATTCCGGTGAGTCTGTAACTATATTATCACAAACACCAATACAAGTTCTGTGTGGGTGTACGACTGAAGGCAAGTTTACATGGTCATCAGGTGGGCACCTCCTCACTAAATGGTGTTTTGTTGAGTTGGGCCCATGACACCGAGAAGGCTCAACAGTGTGTTCCGCCATCTCAGAACCACCCCTCTTTTTGCCTGCACCCACAGCAGCCTTAATGAGAAAACAAAACACTCTTCTACAAGGTTTCAGATGCTACAAGTTGGACACAAAACACGATTGCGTCCAAAAGTTACTTATAGTTTGTAATCCTTTAAAGTGGTAATCTTCCAGTCTAGTTTTTCACTGCCATAATGTTAGGGAACTTGCAAGAGGCAAAACAGCTGGATACTGAATTTCCCATAATGCAACTTAATAGCATCCTTTCATAGAGTGCCGTAGGGCTGACGTATTTTTGTAGGCCCACCTGTACACTATCACTGTGGTTCCCTTATAGGATTTTGGATTACTGCAGAAAACGAGCTCTGTGACAAACAAAAGCTTATGACATTTACAAATTTTTGTTCAGCAAGATAATCTTCACAAATGAACACCACTTTTATCATTTTTGAAGCCCAAGTACAATCACCAGAAGTCAAAAGCTATTGTTAGGCTTTAAACGAACTAGACCACAGTCCTAGGACTCTAGCATAGCCACGGCCTCTGATTTGTAATTTGATTAAACACTCTTAGCTCTTCTACAAAATCCTTTCCTCTTAGCATGACCTGATCTGCCTAGTGATCATGGCTGTGTCAGTTAGTTAGAATATTTTGCAAGTGCACAAGTTGTAAAAGCAGACTAGTGAGTATGAGTCTCTGTGTTGGGCATGATGACAGTTGACACCCCCAACAACTTTATTAGTCTCATTTAGCCAATTGTTAGCAACCACCTTTTTCATAAGTATTAAAAATCACAAGTGGGCTATATATTATAGTGATAATTCAGTTCCGGGTTTTAGGACTCACTACTGCGGCACTCGAATCTCCCTCCTGGATAAACACCAGTAATTTTTGAGCATAGCATTAAGCATATTTAACAAGTAAAGTTAGAGACTTGCAACTAACAACAAATTGGAGCTGAAACTGATTCAGTACAAGGTGAACTGACATATCTTCAACAGTTGCTGTGCTAGATCTTGAAGAAAATTGTCAGTAGGGAAATACTGTTAGCTTTCAAATTGCTAATGATATCAATGTGATTCCAAATGCTAGTGGGAGGTTTTCATAGTCAAAGAATCATATTATGAGGGTGAGGCAATGAGAGTATTGCTTTAGGTGGAATTGCATTGTGGAGAAACTGATTTGCCTTGACAGAGGTTTGCACTCCCTGAGTGCTGTTTAGTTTATGTATCGGGCAAGTCATAAATACTTTGATACTTGTGTATCATTAAAATGTCCACAAACATCATTTATTTCCTGCCAAAATATCCATTCTTGCAGTACAATAGTCACTTATTACATTTTATGGTTTTTATGATTCTTTGGGGAAAAATTGTAAACAACTTTTATAAAGTACACAGTGACTTCAGACACAATGCGTTTGATTACATTTATATTTTTCCCTAACCCCAATCTCTGGTCTGACAGATGTGCACTTTGTACAATCACCTAAAACATACTTGCTGTTACAGTTTAGTTGTATATACAGTAAATGCAATTGCTTGAAAACTGCACAAATTTTGCTGTCAGACATCCAATATTCCAGTGGTCTCAGCACAAAAAGGCCACAGTGTAATAAGTCAACAATTAGTTTATATTTTATTGAGTTTTTATATTTTTTGGTAGTGCAGCAACCTACTGGATAATTCTAATGAAGTGCAATTGTACTCAAGCCGGTTACAGTTGAGAGCAATGACAGGCACACATTTTGTGTAAATTCAACAGCATTGGAACGGCTCCTACATATACACAGCAAAAATACATGCCAGAGGAAAACAATACTAAATCAATTCACATTAACAATAGTTAGGAAGACACCCCTTGAAAACAATCCAAACACTTGAGAGATGCACACTTCGCCCATAGCTGGAATATGGGCGGCAACAACGGAGCAAACATTCAGTCTTAACACAGCGAGAATTATGTGGTGTTGACTCTAAGACTAAATGTCTCCAACCTGCAATTCCAACAAACATATATCATCACAATCCAGACACTGTGCATTGCCATTTCAATTGTATTGACATGACAAAATGAAAATCCCAAATCAGAGTGCTAGACAAGAGGTACACCTGCTTGCAGTTGCTGTAATTCCCACCTCCAAATGCTTTGTCTTCCCTGCATGCCCGGCGATGCGAAATTAAAAGGCCGGGGACAATATAACAAAATAAAACTTGAAAATATCAAGCACATAAGATGACACAACCATCTGAAACACAGGTGTGTTGTAACCGTGTTAGATGCAGATGTTCTTATCTAGATCACCTTCCTAATGTTGCTTTATAGCAATTATTGGGACAAGATACAAACCAGCCCAATATCTACAAACTCAAAATGAAACAATTCTAATTATTTAGCCCCAAGATGAGCCTTTGCGTGTGTGTTTGTGTGTGTGTGTCTGATGACAGTTAAAGCACGCGTGGTTATTATCCTCCAAACATGCAGAAACCGGAACTAGAAGATTCAAATATAGGTAGGCGAGTTGGTAGATTTTGGTAACCAGTCTGTAGAGTTAATGCTCAAACATTACAGGTCAAGGTCTGTGCGTGAACTTTATTTTGTTCACAGTGAAAATATAAGCGCTGACAAATTGGAAATGCTTTAACTGGCTTGTGTTGGTTCCAAAGTGTGGCGGATGTTGACATCTTTTCTGAAAGCAGCTGCTATAATTTCACTTCTGTTAGAGGTTTGTTTTAAACCCAAATTGAAAATGAAAGTTTTGAATACACACACATCTCCAGACAACATAAATCACTTAAATTAGTAAGAGTGATAAAAAGAACTCACACTGTCTGGATAAAGTATGTCTGTGCTGTAAAGTAACTCGTAATAAGAAGAGCCTGACAGTTTTACCCCATTAACCAACTTTCATGATCAGGAGTTAAAATCTTGGTAATGAATTGTTAAAGTGGTGCACGCAGTATGATTTTACCATCTAAACCAACAGATGGAGTCTCATAACAGGGTCTGGCAATGCCACTTGTGAAGGAAAGCAGATGCACCACTACATTCTACAGCTTTCCTTTATTATACAATCAAGGGCCACGTTGAAATGTTTTACAACCTAGAATTTAACGGCAACAAAATCTACTTCAGTTGCACTCAATTGGCAACTATCAAAAAGTAAACTTACTGTAACATACATATTAAATAGTGTATAGTCCATGCAACTGAGCACGGCCGGTTTTGCATCATTATGGTATGTTGTTATTAGTGTATGGGAGACGTCAGCCACCAGTGCATTTCCGATTTAGGTTCAGGGAGAAAAACTCGACACCCATCAGAAACTTCTCAGCCAGACTTGAAGAGCAAAATAGCCACTTGGCCCAAGTAGAAGTAAATGAAATGCTTTGTCTCGTGGGTGACGTAGCTGCCAAAGTTCCTCCCGACAATGCAGTGCCAGGTGGGGTTATACTTCTTATCAAACTCCTGAAAGGTAAAAAAAAAAAAAAGAAAAAACAAAAACAACAGGAAAATCAATACAAAATCAAAATCCAGAACCAATAGCAGCAATCTACAAATCCTGTCATATATGTATATATAAAATGTAGAGTCCACCAAAGTAATGTCTGCAAACAACCTACATTTGTATTACCATTTAACATGCCAATCAATTTCTCAGTTAAATTGATAGTTTGTGTTGAAAAGGTCTAAAAATAATTTCAAATGGCTATTATTTCTCAGTGCTGAAATCATCAAACTGCTTGTTTTATTTGATCAAGTCTAAAAAAAGATACTAAGTTTGCATTCATAAAAAAAACAAATGTAAAACCTATTCATTGACATATATCACTTTAATTGCCTGACTTAGACCTTCAAGTTGAGAAATGAGGGTAGGCCTGCATAAAACACATTTAAAAAAGATTAAACAGGCCTACAAGAGCCCACGGCATGCTTTTCTGACTTAACTACAATGTTACAATGATGAATTATCATCTTTAATGTGACTAAAAGCTCAAAAAACAAGGTGTAGCTATGTTGTTGTACTTGTATGCAGAAGCAACCTGGTTTATACAATTCTAGTGATTTCTTGCTCGCAAGACTTTTTTTTTTTCCAATGATGTAAAGTAATACGTGATAGTTTAAGGATTTCCTTGAATGGTCATATTCTCCAGGCATTCATGTGAGCTTGCCTGACATCCACTGGTGCCATCGTGAAATAGTAATTTTTCAACTACACCCAGTTTTGTGGATATATTTTACCTCCTGCTACACTGGGACCAGGAAGGTTGGAAAAAAAATACAAGGCCTGAGGTTAATGCATGTCTGAGAATGTTCACGAACAGCGACTCACTGTTTTACCTGACCTGGTCTAACATGGTGTGAATGGAGTGGCTGGAAACCTACAAACAGCCGGCCAGTGAAGCACCCTGTGGCGGTGAATGCTCAGCTGACCAACCCTGGATTCCCCAGAGCACAGTACCTGTTTGTTTCGACTGCTTGAGGCCAGTGCGTCTGCTGCATGTGATGTGTTGCTGGTTGGCAAGAGGATTCTAACGATCCATAATGTTATTGTCGGTGTTACACTACCTGTGGTAGTATGATAACGTATGTGGTCACCTGTAATATGAGGGATTTATGGGGGAAGACACAATCACGTTTGGTTTTACAGTGCTTGCAACTACTTGAAAGGGTGTGATGTTTCCACTACTCGGTGGGACTTAAGGTAAATTTTTTATTTAAAAAAAAGTTGCGCGCCTAAATGCATTGTTTCTGTAGAGAATTGTTGTAAGGCTGGGGAAGTTACTATGTCTGCATTATTCCAGTTAAAATATAGTTTCTCAATTACCTACTTTTAGAGTGTCACACATCTTTTACAGTATATACCCCATATTCCGCTGTTTACCTATCCATGGAGGAGAAATTCAAATTAATTAATGTACTTGCAGTTCGTAGTTCTGTTCACTTTCAAATTCTGGCTCGAACATGTCAGGCAGGATTTGAGGTACAGGTCACTGTGGAAAACATAGCTCAGTTGCCCATGGCTTTTTGTTTATATGCTGTTTTAGTTTCCTGACCTGCTTAGCAGGAGTTGTGCGCATTCACGGCCTATCCTCTTGTTTTCAGGAGGAGGCTCTCTGGTTTTAATAAATAATTAGACTATTTGGAGTTATGATGGGTGCAAAGCTAATATAGAGGTACCCAAAATTAAAAATTAAATGGTTGGAAATAAGCATGCCACGGGCAATTTAGAACTTCCTTTTGGTGTCTGGTCAACATGTTCGTAAACACGGTGCATTGGGAAGACTTGAGGACTCCATGACCTCCTCCTGACTAAGGCCCTGATCACAAGAACCCTCTTCACAATGGTCAAAAATGGATCTGATAATTAAAAAAGACTGCAGTTGCTCTCGGATCAATTCATGGACCCGTCCTGTCTCACCTTCTTGATGTAAGCTGCAATGTCCTTCTCTATGTTATACTTCTCCATGGCCTGGGTGGCACAGTCCACGGCGTCCTGCTGCATGTCCTCGGACATATCTGCGTTCTTGATCACAGCTTTCCTGTCGGTCATGGTTGAGGATGGTGATGATGATATCTGCCGGGTAAGAAAGCACATTCACTCAGACGTACTTAACTGAAAATGAACACCGCACGTGGTGGTGATGTGGACGGTTTAGGCCAGCCGAACCACTACCAGCCTCAACTCGCATTTGGCAAAGCGTTTTCTATCATTTGCACTGATTCATAGTCGCAACTTATGCTTGTGTGCATCTGTGCATTTTCATAACTAGATGACGAACTGAGCATTGCACGGATTGATTGCGAAACCTGATCCAGGTGGAGTTAAATTACTTAGCAAAAATCACTTTATGATAAAAGCAGCTTCTGCTTCAGGAGACCAGAACTATAACAATGTATCTGTTTAACTGTCCGCTCAGAATCACTGGTTGTGAACCTCTGATAATATAGTCCAAATGTCTAACCAGTCCAAATTAATTAAGACATACATTACAGCTCACCACAGTAAGAGAAAGTAGAACCAGAAAGATGTCTAGACATGCAAGTCAGCCTTTTCTACAGCAGGAACTCACCTTCTCTTGAACCGCCTGAAAACACCTCTTTCCAAAAATCAGTATTTTACCCAGCGAGTGGGAGGCTCAGATGATGTTGCGGCTAATTGCTTTTTTAAGATTTACACAATAGGCATGTAGGTAGGTTGGCTCTCTGCTGTGCTCTCTCCAGCAGGTCCCCGCCCCTCTGCCGCATGCTGCACCCTGCCATTGGCTGCGCCGTAGCTTCACCGTGCGGCGCACGCGTTTTTCTCCAGCTCCTGTCTGCCGGCATCTTATTTCATCCCACAATGCATCATTCACACTACACGCACTAACTGTGGGGCCTGGAAGGAATGGACACATTAGCTGTAGACATCACTTCGCTGTGTGCAGGGCTTCTCTTCAGTCACCTGGATCACTTGACTAGCATGATGGTTGGTACTGAAGGACACAGCCTCATTTCCTTTAAAAGCCCAGTGCAGAAGCAACGTGCTGGGCTGTAGCTGTGTCAAAGATAAGGTTGTTTTTTCCATTAACTTATACATCCTAATTATACAAAACTTTTTTTTTTGTTTATGAATCAAATAAAAACAAACTAAAGTGTCCTTGTTTGAAAGAGTTTTATTGAAAATGCTAAGAGAAAAAGTGAGATTAAGCAAAAATAAAAACATAGAAACTACTCCCAAATAACCCCCCTCCCCAATCTTCCCAATTTTTTAAATTCCTTCATACCAGGCATCTACGATTCCATCCTTTGATCCAACTTCCTGGTCCTCAGTTTCGTTTCTTGTAAAATAAAGCCATAATCACCGAAAAACTTTAGGCGGGGGAGGGCCTAATAAAAAAAAGTTGCTCTGGGGCTCCGCATTAATTAGTTCTGAAATCAACTCATCTGAATCCTGGAAAACTGATCCCGTTCCGAGCATCCATCCTTGCCTATCCCTTCCCTAAATCGATCCACTCATCCAGCTCCAAGGATTGGGATCCACTGAGCCACTCCTCCAATCAAAACCTTGAAATACCAGGAAGAAAATCAGAGGCAGACCGTTAGAATAAAATGTCAAGGTTTTGGGGCCTAATTTTTTTTTCCATGTTGAGCACTCATGTCAGATCAAGAAAAAAATGCCACTGAGCACAAAAACCATCACTCCCTGAAGTTAACATTTGAAGACATTTACATCTGAAGTGGAGCACTTCTGCATCAAAGTAGTGACTCAGACTTTAACATCTGACAGCAAAGATGTTACACTCACATCACAACACTTGATCTAGCACTGCTCATTCTGTTACAGGCCAGAGTAGCATGTTAAAAACTCTATATATAACAAAGTACAGCACATTTGGCTTGGTTAATTATGACATGCATGATATGGCAACCGATCAAAACGTTCAACTTATGGAATATGAAGCGTACCATTGCCTCGATTGCCTGATTGCTCCTCAATTAGATGTCCTATCCTGACCATACAAATGAAATGTGCTCCACAATGGTTTTATTCCAAATCACTTTAATCCTTCTCTTCAGATGTCTAAAGGAAGACACAAGGGTAAAAATACAGTTAAGCACTGGGCTCCCCGTCCAAACAGCCCACCCCACATACCCAAAGAGAAAAGCTATTAAAAAAAAAAAAGTCTTAATTTTGAATACTTGCAAAAACATTGAGTGCAGCTAATGACAACTCAACATTTTTGAAGTTAACAACACATTTTCTAATGTTGCAAAAACTGAGGACAGAGAGAAGGAGAGAGAGGGGGACAAGAACAAAAGGACAAAGCAGCTGGAGAAGGTGGGGGGTAACATCTACATACCAAGATCATCCATAAGGACATCAGGGCATGAAATGCAGAAATGAAAATTCAACAGCTGACATCTGGAGAAACTTAAGAGGTAAAAACAGGAGGGTATACACCAAAAGGGCAAATCATTGGTGGTAGAAAGGTTTAGGAACGGGAGCGAGAGCGGCTGTGACGAGGTGAGTAGCGGGGTGATCCTCTGCCACGGCCACGGGAATTGCTGCGGCTCCGGCCGGGGCCGCGGCCTCGGGGCCCCCCCCCCCCCCCGGCTGCGGGAGCGTGATCTTCCATAACTTGGGCTGCGGGGACCATCTAATTTCACACGAATGTACGCAGTCTCTCCCTGGCGAACACAAGAGAACTTGACATTGAAAAGACAACATTCCTGCCTATGGTGGGATATACCACAGATGGCAAAGAGGGCCAGGTTAGCTTAAAACATGTAGCATTTCCTGAAGTACTCACCTTGACATGGCAAAGAAACATTGTCCATGACAGTAAAATCAGTACACATACCTCATGTGAGCGGAATTTGGTGTTGTCCAGCTTTCGAACGGCATAGGTCATGTCTTCTTTGCGCACAAATTCTACAACCCCGGTTCCATCTCTGTAAACATCGGCATAGCATACATCGCCTGCCTCACGCATATGATCCTTCAGGTCCTGCCAGCTGCCGCTCTGAGGGAGCCCTGAGAAACAGATTGAAAAATGAACTAGGTAATACATCGTAATCTATGTGCAGGCACATTAGAACTGCAAGACTAAGTTGTCTCACCAAATGGCAGATGTAATTCTTAGTGACAACCATTCCATATTAATACATAACATGCTATATTAGAAACAGTTACATATACTTTTTCCATTCTTACATCTAGGGCAATCCTGGTCCTCAAATTCCGCTGCCCTGCTTGTTTTCCTACTATTCCTTCCCTACCTACTGCTGATTAACTGGATCAGGTGTGTTCAGTCAATCAGAAGCTGAAAGATACAATCTTAGATGAAGGTGGAGTGAGGAAAGAAAGTGAATTGGTATCTTCTAGCTTCTGACTGACAGAATACATGATTCAGGTAATAACCATTGGGTAAGGCAGGGATAGTTGGAAAACAAGCAGGTCAGCAGCCCTCGAAGACAGGGGACTGCATACCCCTGGTCTACCCCACTGTTAATACATTAAGTCCCAACAAACCATATTTCAAAAGCAAATGCATCAAATTAAAAATAATTAAGCAAATTCAAAGTATGTGTCCAAAATAAATGTGGTAAACAAAAGTTTTTACAATATCCCTATGTCTGCCTAGATAGACAATGCTTAAAATATTTTATTGTTCCAAATGTAGAGTACAGTTAAAACGGAACTCACAGTGGGCTAATCACTAAAGAATTTGCTCTAGAAAGATGCACCAGAGGGCAATGCAAGAAATAGCACGTTATAATGGTCGATATTATCTTTATAGATATGACGGCGATTTATCTTACCTGACACAACCACCCTGTACTCGGAGCGTCTGGATGGAGGCCCGTATCTGCCTCTGGGAGCTCCACTGATGCCACCAAACCCGCCTCTGGAGCCCCGGCCGCTCCGAGGGAACTCCACACGCAGTCTGTAGCCATCATAGTCATAACCATCACGCCCATAGACGGCATCGTCAGCGTCCCTGTTGACAAAAAGCTTACAGCGTAAACCCCAACACACCCAGGGCAGCGAGGTGTATCATACACATGCAGAGAAAATGCAGTCCCGGGCGGCGTCCGCCATGTTAGCTTCATCAAGCTAACGTTAGCTAATCCCCTATGCAGACGTGCCCGCCACTAACATTAAAGCAATCTGGTTTCGAATTGTTTAGATAAACGAAAGCATTTGTTCTCAGTCGTTGCAAGGAAACAGATGTGCGCCGAATAAATACTGCACAACAAATGGTGACATTGTAAATGTAATGACTATGGTTTCTCATCCAACATTAACTTACAAGCCGGAAACAAAGCGAAGTGGATGTTCAGTGTTAACGCAACAGTGAGAACGCAGTGCAAAGAAAAGCATAAAATGTTGTTGCTAAAGTGTATAAGCGAGTTGCATCTTTACTATGACCAAGGAAAACAAGTCGAAACCGAGAGAGCACACACCACGTTGCGGAGAAAATAGTACAGTCAACCCAGCGAACAGTCTGAGTCCTTGAGTTATATGCTAGGACACGAGTTACTTAGCCACGCAATGGCGCTGCCGTGGGCCTATCAGGAGGATAACGTTAGCAGTTAGTTAACGCTAGCCCCTTACCTCGGGTCTTCGAACTCAATAAAGGCGAAAGGCGGCCCTCCTCTTCGGTTCTTCAGGTCGATGTCTCGAATTGTTCCGTATTTGTAAAACACGTCCTCCACATCTTTTGTACGAATATCAGGGGGCAGGTTTCCCACATAAATTCGGCAGTCGTTGTTCCCAGCAGGGCCTCGCACAACACCCGACATCGCTGCTGCTTAAGCTAACTGTTTGTGTATTGCAAGATTCTCAATAGCTGGCGGAGTCCCACCGAGATCAGACTTCAAGTGGTTGCAAATTGTCGATCAAAAAGGAGAAAAACCAAAAAATGCACCGTTATATGTCACAATCTTCGACTACTTTCAGTATAGAGAACGCACTCGCCACGGCGGACAATGCTCCTGTTTTTCTCCAGGAACCGCACTCCGTAACCGGAAACAATGTAGTCAGAACGCATACATGCGCCTTACAAAGTAGTCCGCCAAATATCGAGGTTTATTAAGAGCAATCAATATTTTTCATGATTTCATTACACAGGTCAAAATATGTAACTGAATATTGAATATAAGTAAAGGGATGTAACCATCTGTCCACCAACAATTTAACTTTATTTCTTCAATCCTATATTTTCATAAAAAAAACAAGGTGTTTGTTATTTTTTCATCAAATCCTTCCAACTTATTTTTGTTCCATCTTGGTTTTGTGAGCTATTTGAAATGTTTGGTGAGTTATTTTAGGGTGCCCATTGCATACTCATTTTCAGCCATTTAATGTTTAATGTTAGGTACCCCTGGATTAGCTTTGCACTCATCACAAGTCCAAATAGTCTGTAATTATTTCAGAACAATAAAACCAGAAAGCCTCTTCCTGAAAACCAGAGGATAGCTTGTGAACACGCGCAACTTCTGTTGCCAGTGTTGTGTCACACTGATGTGTAACAAAGCGGGTAATTGAGAAACCCCATATTTTAACTGGTATAATGCAGACATAGTAACTTTTCCAGCCTTACAACAATTCTCTACAGAAACAGTACATTATGAGACATGCAATGTGTTTTTTTTCTTCTAAATTTACTGTTAAGTCCCACCAAGTAGTGAAAACATCACACCCTTTCAAGTAGCCCCAAGGTCGGTAAATCCAACTGTGATGGTAGTGTCTTCCCCCACAAATCTCTCATGTTACAGGTGACCACAGTCATTCACAACAGGTAGCTTTGCACAGACAATAACATCATGGATCGTTACAGTCCTCTTGCCAACCAGCAACACATCACATGCAGCAGACACACTTGCCTCAAGCAGTCAAAACAAACAGGTACTGTGCTCCGGAGGAATCCAGCATTGATCAGCTGATCATACAGTGCCCCACAGGCTGGCTGATTGTAGGTTAGACCCGGTCAGGTAAAACAGCAAGTCCCTGTATATGTACATTCCCAGTCATGCAGTAACCTCAGGCCCTGTATTTTTCTCCACATCCTCTGGTGCAGTGCACAGTGCAGCAGGAGGTAAAATATTTGCACAAAACCACGTGCAGTCGAAAAATTCCACCTTTAGAATGGCACTGGTGGATGTTACATGAACGTGCAACTGCCTGGAAATTATGACCATTCAAGGAGATCCTTAAACTACCACATAAGGCTTTACATTGTTGCCAGCTTGAGTTTGCACGACTTGTATAAACCAGGTTGCTTCTGCATAGAAGTACAACAACATAGGTACACCTTGTTTTTTGACTTTCAGTCACATTTAAGATGATACTTTATCATAGTAACAGTGTAGATAAGTCATAAAACACAGAAAAGCATGCCATGGTCAATGTTTGCTGTTGAGAACAGCAGCTGAAATGTTTCCTAGTGCTAATGACTGTTTGGTAACAGTTAGCCTGAACTAGCCTTAATAGATGCAGGGCCGTGCTGGGTGTGTGGGTGGAAGCAAAGAAGGGGGTGGTTGTGGAATGGACAAACACACTACCTCCATCTACACACTACCTAAAACCAAGTCCAGATGATCTTTTCTATGTTTTTTCAGATCATCCAGACCGTTACCAGCAACAAGTCCAAAAGCCAGGGTCTGTCATGGTCTGGGGTTGTGTCAGTGCCCTTGGCAAAGCTAACTTCCACTTCTGTGACGGCTCCATTAATGCTGAACAATACACAGAGGTTTTGGAGCAACATCTGCTGCCTTCAAGACGACGTCTTTTCCAGGGATGCCCGTGAATATTTCAACAAGACAATGCAAAACCTCATAGTGGCACATTACCAAGGCCTGGCTGTGGAGGAAAAGGGTGTGAGTACTGGACTGTCCTGCCTGCAGTCCCAACCTGTCCCCAGTAGAGAATGTGTGGAGCATTTTGAAATGCAAACTGCATCAACAAAGACCCAGGACTGTTGCACCTTAAGACTTGTTTACAGGAAGAATGGGACAAAATGACACCTGACAGACTGAATCACCTGGTGACCTCAGTCCCTAAACGTCTTTTAAGTGTCGTGAAAAGGAACAACATCACACTGTGGTAAACACTTTACTGTCCCAACTTTTTTATGGAATGTGTTGCAGCATCAGAATTGAAGAAGTTTATTTTGAACAAAGTATAAAACTGATGAGGTATCACATCAAATAATGTGCTGCTGTGTTGTTTTCAATGTAATACAGGGCACAGATGATTTATAAATTACTATTTTCAGTTGTAATTCAGATTTTACATACCATCCCTACCATTTTCTGATTTGGGGTTGTAATAAGTCCTACAGTCAAGATTTTACTTGAGTAAATGTTTTATTATCAAAATATACTTAAGGTATCAGAAGTAAAGCTACTATTTTTGGAGCATAGCCATTTTATATATTATAAATTGTATTACTGAATTATAACCATTGATGAATGTTGCTGTTGGTAAAGTTACACTAAAATACTTTATATACTGATGGAATTCTGTTTCTGAACATCCCAGGTGAAGCAGAGAAGTGTAAAATAAACTGCTTCAAGGTCAAAAGAAAGATAATGCAAATACATATTGTATGTAGAGGAACTGTCAAATGTATTTATTTATTTGTAATCACAATCGGTGGTCCTGTTAGGTTATTCATGATTTTCCACACAATAACAAAAATGTTAGCAAATTGACTGTGGATGACTTGCCGATGTCAGTAGACAAGCCAGCAGTGATGGTGTTGTGACTATACAGACCATAACACCTGAATCTGTATTTTTCAAGAGATGTTTTATTCCATAAACTAACCATGTCATGGAAATGGAAACAACTAATTGCAAATGAAGATCTTACAAATCGCACACTAAAGAAAATAAATCTCAGAAGAGAAACCAAGAAGTATAACATAGGAAATATCCAGTTGCATGAGTCAAATGGCTCTTCAGGTGCAGCCGAGAGGCTTGTGTTCTCATATTTCCATTACACACACTCAGAGAAAAGTAAGAAAATAACCTGAAAATTGATGGGATTTGCCGTCTAACTTGAATATTTCTTATGAAGAACACACACCAAAAGTCTGTTTGGTGGGATAAAGACCTCTATTAGGACTGGGGTATCCCATAAATCTTTACCAGATAAAATGTTTAAACCACACTTTGCCAGAACATTGTTTTATTGCTTCAATGCTCACATTTAAACTGTCTTTATCAGACTGTTGAGAACAATAACATACATAAAATCATGTTGTATTGTATTTTGTTGATGTACTGATTATACTTTCTGCCCAGGAACAACAAATGCAAATTAGCTTGAAGCTAATTCTGATACAATATTTCTATTTGCGAATGGTTGCTGCTAAATAATTAAACTAAACTACACAAATCCACACATTCACACACAGTGAAAAGCTTTGCACAATTTGAATGCACCTCCATTTAAAGGATAAGGTCGATCATTTTCTATATTTAATGGCATTTTCAACAATTCCCATACAGAGAACAAGACTAACAATGATTTGCTTCTACTCACGGTTAATGTCTGTCAGTCTGTCAGTCCTGGACAAGTTTATTCATCTGTGCCATCAATCTCCATTGTTGTTCAAAAATTATTAAAACACACCAGGGAAACGCACTGCTTCACTGGGTGACATGTTTCTCCATTGCAAGACACCCTGATATTTTTAAAGACTTTGCCCCAATGGCTCCGAACAGCCATAACGTTTTACAGCATCTGAAGTAAGCAAAAGTCAAATGTCCATGCACAAGGTCTCTGGATATTGTTAATAAATATTAGGGTCTTGTGTTTCATAATGAGAAAACATGTTACCCAGTGCAATGCTGTGTTTCACTGATGTGTTTTTAATCGTATGTGAACAACAACTGAGGTTTATGACACAGACGAATTAGCTATCCAGGACTGACAGACAAAAAATTCATTGTTGGTCTTAGTCTCTGTATGGGGAGTGCTCAAAATACCGTTAATATAGAAAATGACTGAACTGATTTCTTAATACACCGAAAAGTGTATCACTTACATTCAAACATTTATATTTTCACTATTCTTAATTAACTGTGTTGTGAAGTAAACTAATGTTATTGCTCTGCAGCCAAAATTCTACTTACTGAGAGCACAAATTAGTATTTGCATTACTGAGTAGTAAGTGTAGGATTGTAAAGCTTTAGTTATGGCACTGCCACAAGAGCACGGTGTACATCCATAACAAAAGTAAATCAAACAGCTTTCATCCAGTACATTCGGTACAAGGCCACATTCTGATTGTCCTCATTTGTCAAGGCAAGAAAACATGCTATCATTTGTTTTCATGTGAGATCATAAAGAGAGTCAATATTCAAAAATGACCTAAGTATCTAAATTACAATTCCTCTCCAATATGTCTTGTTATGGTAATGCAAGAACACAATGGTAATCAGAATGTGACTTTCTATACTATTTAGTATGCATGACAGGAACCATAAATGCGCTGGCCAGCCTCACCGTAGATATCACCACCTGTGTACTTGCCCTGACATGCCAGACTGTTCACCTGTGGACAGAGAAGATATTAAACAAGCAAACACACTGTAGGAAAGGAAAGGCTCAGGAAATAACAGTTAAAAGTACCTCTGCTCTCTTGATGAACTGCTCGGTGGCAGCTTTCTCATTCTCCTTATGTCCTCTCCAGGCTCTGAGTGCAGACGCCTGCAGGGCTCGGCCAAAAGAGAACGTCAGGATCCAGGGCCTGGGCAGAGGGCAGTTGTTGATGGCATTGAGGTGGACAGAAGCCTCCTCTTCACCCTGACCACCTGAGAGAAATGCTACTCCTGTAGGGAACAGAAAGCATGAATTCGCTGTATTCTGTCTCTGCTGATTTCATACACATCTGTATAAAACTATCTCTAGTTGCAACAGTGTTTTGGCTTACCAGGGACTGCTGGGGGAACAGTGCGGCGCAAGACGGTGAGAGTTGCCATAGCAACCTCTTCTGGGCTGTACTTGGTTGGACAGCTGTGTCCAGGAGTGACCATGTTGGGTTTGAGGAGAGTGCCTTCCAGGTATACATGGTGGTCTGACATGGCTTTGTACACAGCAGCCAGGACCTGCCATCCACACAGTTTTAGCAGTAACACAGCACTTTGGTACATCTGGAAAATTCCTTTTTCCTTTCTCTCTGTCTCACTTCTCAGCCTTGTTACAGAAATGTTACACATCTGTTCACATGCAGTATGGTAGAAGAGACCCACCTTCTCCGTGACATACTGGCAGCGTTTCAGGTCATGATCTCCATCTGGCAAAACTTCCGGCTCTATGATAGGCACGATGCCATGCTGCATGGCAGACAAAGTAAATCTATGTAAAATAATACAGAACCATACCATCACAAAGATGTATCAACAAGCTATGTGACATTGTGTCTTGACCTGCTGGCAGATACTAGAGTAGCGAGCAAGAACATTAGCGTTTTCTGCGATAGCCAGTTTAGATGGATTAGTGTCACTGATTTTAAGAACACAGCGCCACTTAGCGAAGACGGCTCCATCCTTTTTGTACTGCATACAGCGCTCTGCCAAGCCATCCAGACCTATGGAAGAGATTTAAAACAACCTGTGAACCATCTTTTTGTATGGGTGAAATAGTTAATACCAGTAGTTAACCAAGGCTTGCCTGACCCTGTGTGGTAGTTTCTCCATAAGTTCCTGCCAGGGGGACAACACCCTTGTCAACCTGAGGAATAAGAAAGAGAGAAGTGACATCCAAGTTAGGTTATTATAAACAGACACAATTAACAATCAGTTCAGAAAGCACTGCACATATTACTACTATTGTAGCCAGTTGCTACTCAGACATATTAAACTGGCTACAAAGTGCCAGACCTTGATGCCAACCAGGATGCCCCTGTCTCTGATCATTCTGACAAAGGGCACCCCATTATCATTGTGCTGGTACAGCGTCTCATGGAAGAAGATGACCCCTCCAATGCAGCTATTGATACGGTCATCTGCACTGAAAAGGATCTGCCGGTACTGTCTGCGGTTCTCCTCTGTGTTCTCCACTCCGACCTGGGCCAGCCGTTTAGCCATGCTGCCTGCGGGTGACACACTGGATGTGAGGTGCATACGAGATACGCTCTGCACTCTTTGGACTGGTTGCTCTTTATCAGTGACATAAAGCATGCTTTTCACTGTGGCTGTTTCAGTGCAAAATAAATATCACAGAAAGAAAGAAGGACTGAGCATACAGACCCACAGACTCATCTGCAGCCAGGACGCCCTTCCCTGGAGAAATTATGCGTAGAGCAGTTTCATGTAGCTCCCTCTTCTGCCCCTCGGAGAGTGTAGGGACCTGGTGCGTCATCCTGAGACACCGGTCCTGCAATCTTGTGATTGTATCATTCACACATTAACAATTAAAAGAAGGTGGAGACAATCCCTTTATTAAGTTTGTCAAGCTAGCATGCCTTTGTTCTCTTTATCAAAAAGAGTAGATTGAGCTGCTTTAGGGTGTTATAATGATACAGTAGTATTAGTTTATTAGCTAGTGTCATGATTCGGTTCCGTTGCTTCCCGTCCGGCTTTTATTTTGACGTTACGTCCTGTTTTTGTTTCACCTTAGTTTCGGTCTTTTTACGTTCTTCATCACTCACATTGGTTTCACCTGTTTCGTTATTGTTTGCACCTCTATTTAGGCAGCGTCCTCCCACCAGGACGCTGCCAGATTGTTCTAGACCCCAGCTCTGACTTTCCAGCATTCTCTTCGGTATTGGTATTTTTGTGTTTCTGACCCGGACTGCTTCCTTGGATTATTCTGTTCTGCCTTGCCCTCTTATTTTGGACTGCTTCAGTGTATCGGCTTAACGGACTTATCTTTGGACAACGCGTTTTGGATTCCCCTGGATGGATGTGTTTGCTGGCTCTGACCTCGGACTGTTAAGGACATGTGAGTTTTGTGTTTTCACCTTATCTTGTATGATTTTCTTTTGTTCAACGTTAGTTCTCTTAATAAAGAGACGGTTTTGTTTTACACTTCCTCGTCTGGCCATTTAATGAGTTCACCTAAACACTTTTTGGCCGCATTACGCGCCGTTTCTGACAGCTGGGTCATAAAGATAGAGACCATGCTAAATATCAGTTTCTACAAATGTGGTTCCAGAAACTCAGAAATCCATTAAATTGCTATTTTATACAGGCCAACAATAAGAATGTGAATGAGATTATTTGATAATGACAAAAAATATCATTTATTTTGTGTTCTGTAATTGTAAGTTATAGGAATTAAACCACTCATAGTACCAGCAAAAGTGTAATGATTAATCTTTGTTGATCCAACAGGTGACATTCATATTACAGTGCCACAAAGAAAAAGGCTAAGAAAGAGAGGTTACATCTTTTATGATGTAAATAATGAAGTGAACCTGTCGAGCTGCTGCAGATATAAACGGGTCACTTCAGACATGGCATCTTAGCTGTAAATTTAAATTAGATCAAATATGAAACACCCCATTTTAACCACCTTCTTAAATACAGCAAGTTAAAGGTGAATAGCTTGAAAAAGTTGTTAGATTTACAAATTAAAGGCTGCTGGAAAAGACAAACATTAAAAGCTCTTACCTGACACAAACTGAAACAAAATGCGTCTTGTCCACTGGTGCGGTGAGCACTGACTGAGGCTCTCGGCCATCTCTATTTTGTATTGAGCTTAAGTGTGTCACACCTACCAAGCCAGCACCCTTGGGCGGGGCTTGTACATCCCCATTGCCCCATATACAGTCAATTAGAAATCTTGACGATTCACTGTTCTATTTAAAATTAAAGCCTGTTGTTGTTGTTGTTGTTGTACAACAGCTTCCATTTCGATGTGGCCAGGTTCATGTTTCACCAGTCACTTTGCAACAACCAGCTCAGTCTGGTGCTTTGAAACATGCAGTGCTTCTTTGTAAGTTTGACATGCATGATATTTTAACGCTGTCAGCACATCTATTATGGGTCCCACTCAGAATCCTGTAGCAACCTAATTTAAGTGTGTAAATGTGGTGTGCTATTTCTATTTTAATTAGTAAAAATGTGCCCTGAGGAACATTTCTAGTCTCTTGGTAATTTGGTCTCCACCCTTCAATTCTCAGGGGTGTCTGAGTCTCGGAACCATTCAGTGGTTTCATTTTTGAGCTTTAAACTGTAAAGAATATGGAACATTTCAGGATTAGAAATTATTTCCAGGTTTCAGTCAGTGTAAAAGAAGATGTATTATGGCCTAAATTAGGTCAACTCAGTCATTTCCATTTTAAAGAGGGAATCTCATCATTTTCCCCCTCTACCATGTACATGTTAGAATGGATTCTGGTTGAAAGCTTACAAATACAGAAACTTTTTTTGACATACACAATGAGACAATGTGTATTTTAAAAGACAAGCACAAGAAATTCAATTATTCACTGAGTTAAACAGGGTAATTTCTCTCATTTGCATTTTGTCATGACTAGTTGATGGTGGTGAATTACCCTGATTTTCATCTTTGTGGTGTTACACTTTGGAAACGCATGGATGGATTACTGACCAGATGTACTGAGCACAGGCAGAGGGGCCCAAAAGCTCAGGGGGCCTTTGGGCTAGAGGCCACAAAGAGCTGCAAAGAGGGGAAAAAAAACAAACAACCAGAGGCAAATAATAACCATAAAGGTACATAAAACAACCACAAACATCAAACTTTGTGTTTCTTTAAGTCTGGGGCAATATATGTGAAGGGTGAGAGTTTTCTACTTGCCTGTGCTAGTAATCTGTCCCTGAAGAAATTACAGAACAGAAAAGGGGCAGTGTTATTGTTTGGTTAGACTGAGTGGGACTGCTCAAAGGCAGTTCATGGGGACTCCTCTCTTCACTATTGTGGGTCAGTGTGCCTCTGAAACAAGATATGGGTCATTGGACTGTCACTGTACAGCCTCATCACAGACATCATGGACCTGCCTAAGACAAGGGCCTGAGAGAGAATTCGGTGTCAGGAAGCAGCGGGAGGAGAAGCTGGTGCACTCCCATTCAGGAGATACAGCTTTAAATAGGCACATGACTTCAGTACAGAAATTATATGTGGCTGCCTCCGCCGGGACACTCCTTTCTTTTCAGTTACCTAATTAAAAACATGTAATGATGGTACTTTATCTGGTCCTCAATCTTCTGCTCCATTAAGGTTGTCCTCTGAGTTTATGAGTGTGCCTCTAAATAGGGCAGCCCACAGCAGAAAGTTGGCCATAATATATCCACATACATCATTTTATATGATATCTGATTTAAAATAACCCTAATTTATTTAATGCTAGTACCTCTGATTCTACAGAGCCTTTAAAATAGACTAATTTGTTCCTTCCAGTTGATAATGGTTAAGTATCTTTTCTTTTTGTAATGAAATCTTTATTCAATTTTTAACAGAGTAAATCGAGACATAACATAGGAATACAAAGAACATAAACTAAATATAACCCCACTCCCACCCTACCCTGTGCGGGGAAACAGCAACTACAAAAAAGAACAGAAAAAAGCTGTCAGGAGGGTCCATGAGGCTCTAAAACTCAGTTGTCTCAGGAGAAGATGTGTTTATCCTAGTAGCTGAAAGTTTTGGATATAAAATCTCCAATAACATGTTATGCCATGACGGTGCTATCAAATCGTGTAGAAGAATCCAAGTTTTTTGGCTGCTGACAGGTTGACTAGCAATACTTTAAGCATTGCTGTGGAAAGCGATAGCTCAGAAGAACCATCATGGAGATGAAGTGCTGGTCCATCAGGATGTTCACCTTCGTCAGGGTAGAGATGGTTAAGTACCTATAAAGACAAAACTCCTTCAGACCAGGATGACTTTCTTAACCTGAAGAAAGAGAAGCCCTTAACAGGTGTTCTTGCTCTGATCCACGCTGTTAAAGGTTTAAAACCGGTACTATTCCAACAGCTTGGGTACCAGAAAGTGACAACATTACAAAAATCGTTAACCTTTAAAGCACATGGTTTGTTCTTTACAAAATTATAAAACAAATAACTGTGTCTTTACAGCAATATGCATACTGCTAATTTTAGAATATATAAAATAAATAGACCATAAATTAGAGACTATTAGTTTTAATTTCAGAGTCTGTTGTTCAGCTGACATGAAGAACTTGCACCTCTTAAAACCATTTTGTACTTTACAGGTACAAAGACAACATCCTAGAACGTCTTCATTAATACTACATGTACAAAGATTAACAATACATTATTCAGTACTAACTTTCATCATGGTTTGCATAATTGTTTTTATTGTTATGATAAATATCAACCAAAACTTTATTTAACACACATTACAGACAATACATTTCCACCATGGGTTCTTCAAACTGGAAGAAAAAATGAATAGGCCTCAAGAGTTTTAACTCAGACAATGCATGCTGGGAAGTCTTCTAGTTCAGATGGTGAAACAGTAAATATTAGTTAATAATATTATGAAATTGTAACAGTATTTTAAGGTTTTTTGTGAAAAAATAATTAACAGTAATTCACAGGATTTTCCTGTTATTTTGGAAAAATTCAGTAAAGCTACTTTAAAAAAACATTATGTACCCTCTCAAAATATTTGCAAAGTGACAGCCTGTTGTGCAGTCTGCACTGTCACATTTTACACACTCAGGAGCTGCTCTGGAGCTTTTGGCTGCTTCACATGACCACTGGCAAGTTGAAATGACATTATAGACATCCAAACTTTCATTTTTTTCTGAGAACTTTAAAGATTTTTCATCCACTTACTATTCTTTTTCTGCATCAAACACATCTCCCATCTTCCTCAGCAGATGGAGTTTGTTCACCTGTTATGGGAAAAGGCTCAGTTTCCATTACTTCCTGCAAGTATGGACAACAGATAGTCACATAAATACACTGTACACAGTAGCAAGAAAAAGTAAGTGAACCACTGGGAATTACCTGGTTTTCTACATGATTTGGTCATAAAATGTGATCCGATTTGCATCCAAGTCACAAATATTCATAAACACTATGTGCTTAAGCCAAAATCACACAAACAATTATAACTTTTCATGTTTATTGAACACACTTATTAGACGTTCAAAGGGCTGGTGGAAAAAGTAAGTGCACCCTTGGATTTAATAACAGCTTGAAGCTCCTTAGGACGTCTGGTGTGAACGGCTTGAGGTCACTCCACAGTATCTCTACTGGGTTGATGTCTGGGTTCTGATTGAGACACAAAAATGGCAGATTTTCTTGTTTTGAAGCCATTTTGTAGTAGATTTACTGTCCTGCTGGATTGCCCAACTTCTACTGAGCCTCAGCTGGTGGACAGTCACTCTGACATTATCCTGTAGGATATTTTGATAAACCTGGGAATTGTTTTCCTTCTCCATGATGGCAAACTTTCCAGATCCAGAGTAAGCAAAGCAGCCTCAAGTCATCATAGCTCCTCCACCAAACTTTACTGTTGGAAAGTTGTTCTCATCACTCTGTTGTGTTTGCATCTTTACTACAAAGATTTCTACATTTCACTCTCTTGTTTTGTGACATGATCAGTTGTGGATGTTTGTCAGGACTATTTGCATCTTGTATTTGTATCTTTACTATAATGATCACGAAGTTTTACTATTCCATTTGTGACTTGTATATTTTAATGTACATTTAAAATATAAATTGAAGTATTATTTTAAACAGAAAAATGCAGGGTGCAGATTTTTTAAAATTCAACCTTGAATAGTTTGTGCTTGAAACAGTAAAAGTGAGGGGCACAGGGTAAGTTATGGAGAAATAATCATCTTCTGCTGAGCTTCTCATCTCTACTCGGTATCTGTATTCAGGTACAGAAACACCATTCAGTCTTAAGCTTTATAATTCTGCTCTATAGCACGGCTTAGGTCCATGCTGGCTAAAGTCGCAGACAGTTCAGTGGGAGACGAGGGAGAATGAAGGATTTTATCACAGTCAAAGTCATCAAAGCAGCCCAGAGAAAGGGCTCTCATTGATTTGGCTGCCCAGTCAGGATGGGTCCTGAGCTCAAGGATGAATTCAACAGGCTTCTTTTGGAGGATGTGAGCGTCAAATGAAGTGCCACAAGAGAAGGCCTGCAACTTAAAAGCCTCTAGACGACAAAGCCGTCCTCCCGTGGGCCCACCACCTGCAGGAGGATCCGTAAGGGGCTGGTGCAAAGTGGATTGAGCAGCAGTCGAAGGCAGGGGCCCCGACGACCCAATCTCTGGACACGGAGACTAGCCCTGGGGACATGGAATGTCACCTCGCTGGTGGGGAAGGAGCCCGAGCTTGTGCAGGAGGTTGAGAGGTACCGGCTAGATATAGTCGGGCTCACCTCCACGCACAGCTTGGGCTCTGGAACTTTACTCCTCGAGAGAGGCTAGACTCTCTACTACTCTGGAGTTGCCCGCGGTGAGAGGCGATGGGCTGGTGTGGGCTTGCTCATAGCTCCCCAGCTTAGCCGCCCTGTGTTGGAGTTTACCCTGGTGAACGAGAGGGTCGCTTCCCTGCGCCTTCGGGTTGGGGATAGGTCTCTCACTG